TATCAATGTTTTATCACAAACCAGGAAATCCCATGTGATGGGTGCTGGGGGAAGCAGAAAGCCTGACCTGTTGGTCTGCTCCTCCACCTGCTCCCCAGGCAAGGAGTGCTGGGAAAAACTCTGCCATTTTTCCCCTCTGCTTCTGTTTTCTCATCAGCTGGGTCCAAGTTTAGCAGCAAGAGCAGATCATGCAACTTTTGAGCTGTTTTTTTCAGCACTCAGAGAAGACATGTAGCCTACAAATTGAAGGGGAAGGTGCAATTGATTCTCCTCCAGGCTTAAACACAGACGGCTGGTTCACCCACCGACTTCTCTGAAGGGCCAGAGGAGGTGAAATGTGTCTCTGCAGCCTTACGTCACTGTTAGGGAGAGAACCCTGAAGATTGCAAGTCAGCAGGATCCCAGCCTAATATTATACAAATAACAAGTGAAGAGGTCAAAACATGACTACTTTAACAAAGTGACCATGCAAGAGCAGTGAGTAACAAGATCCTCCTGTTCCTCAAGAGAAACAAATCTGTGCTGAGCTGATTGCTCAACTTTGGTAACAGCCTGCAAGACTCACAAGGCATGCACAACCGTAAACAAACGTGAGACAAGAAATATGGAAAAGTCACTTGTCATAGATTACAGGATTTGTAAACCTTGGAAACCTTGGAAACCAAGTGTCCATTGCTCACCAACCTCGGCCTGTGTTACTGGGGTCCCGGTACATCAGATAAATGGATATTTGCCTCCAGTGGCAAACACACTTTTGTCATTGTGAGGAGGGTGAAAGGGTGTTCTCTAACCCGAGTTAGGTAACTCATGCGAAAATCAGAGTGAAAATGCAGGAATGTGTAGCTATGTTATATGCTATTGTGACAAGCTGCAGGCAAGGCAGTCCTTGGGGTTTGCTGCTGCTGCCACTGAACCTCTGAAGTGATCCCCACCAGCTTGAGCAGAGCAGGAGCAGTCGCTGCTCTGTAGGGGTTGCTTCACCCTGCTGGCACTACTCACACGCGTAAACCAAATATGCAAAGAGCTGCCTGTGGGCAAGGCCTCGGTATGTGTTTGGAGTGGAGAAGCAAGGGAAGGAGATGTGCACTGCATTTTGTGCTGTATCTGAGAATGTACTGCTTGGAAATATGCATCTGTGGAAAAATGAGCACTTACACCAATGGCAAACACAAACTGCATTCCACGCTCAGGCCTCCTATTGAATGTGCACTTCCCCCAGGGGCTTCAGCTTTTGGCCCAAAGGTAATATTTATCATATATTATATTCCATACTTATTTTCTGTGCAGCTGCACAAATATCACACTTAGAAGAATATAGTTTAATCACTTGAAAACAGAGCCTGTATGAAGTGATGAACAAACCATTCTTATTCCTTGTTTTTCAAATGAACAATGCTGAAATGTCTGGTACAGATGTCTCATTTTCACTTCCAGATGTTTTCTCCATTGGGTGGCAATATTCAGCAGTAGTTTTATTTGAAGAATTATTTTATATTAAGGCATGAAATACAAGAGACCATAGAGAAATATAGAATCCATGTAATTAAAAACACTATGAGATGTGAGGGGCATATAGTACAAGATGATTTTTTAAATTTTTTCTATAGTCATAGAAAGAAATGGCTTCCTGTTCCAAAGAATAGGATGTCATCATTTGATGGCAAGACAAAACCTAAGGGAAATTAATTAGAAAGCATTTTGAAAATACTGAGCTGATTTCATACTCTAAAAATCAGTGATAATTTTGGTCCTGAACCACAGAATTTATCTGGGAAAAAACCCCCACCTTTATCCACTGCTTTTATTTCTAATGATGATTAAGGGCACCAAAAAGAAATGTGTCCCTCACTCCATCCTTTAAAACCAGCAAACCTATCTTGAAATATACACTTCCACATGTGCAAATTGGAAGTTAAAACTTCCACTTGCAGACTGGCAAAACTAGTAGGCAAAATTTCTTCTGAGGGCCAGAGGTGATATTTATTAGGCTTTATCCCCTGCAGATGTAATTGCAGATATTTTGTCTCAGAGGAATTCTGGAGAAAGGTTCCAAACAAGGTCAAGCCCCCAAGCACATGTGGCTGCTGCAACATTGCAGCGCTCCCACATTTCAACACTTTTTCTACTGTCCTTCAGAAGATAACTTTTTTATTCAAAGACAGGATTCAATTTTTGGCACAGTCAAAAGACCCATTTAAAATCCCATCTCAAGAGAGAAATTACAATGTTGACACTTAGATAATTTTATCGAGTTCCATGTTTATTTGTGTTTTCCTGAAAGCAGAAAATTCTAGAATCTTGCCTTTGTGTATGAATTATAGCTTATCCTCTTAAATATATATAAAATAAATATTTGTCGGTTGTGGATTATTTTGTAGGGGAGGCACAGAAAAAGCACTGAAAATGTGAATTTCAAGGGTTCAGAAAAACCAACCAAACCAGAAATATAAAATACTTACAGTATAGTAAAATTTTACCATTTTAGGTGTGAGCCAAGACTTTTTTTAATGCTGGGTTTTAACAATACTGATCTCTAAGTGACCTACTTTTCCATTCTCAATTCTGACATGAAAGTGTATCAGCAGCTTCACTGAATTCAATGGAAGGACCTGGGAACTCAGGTGAATAAGGTGATTTTTAATTTGCAGACCTGGATCAAACGTTATTTTACTTTTGGAAAGATACATATCATTTTACGTATCACAATTTTCATTATTTCAGTTCAGAGATCTCAGGCAATCCTTAGTTGTTCCTTTTGAGAATTACAGCAACAAGTATAGGAGGCAAGTGCAGAAAGTTGGGACCCTATGGAGCTGTATTGTAAGTCTATGTGGTGTTGCATATGTATGCCTATGAATGCAGCAGACAGGAATTTGTGGAGCCAGTAGGATACATTTTTTGATTCCTCTCCGTCTTGTGTGGCAAAGAATACAGAGACTCTTCCTCACATTTGGCCAAAACCCACCAACATATACTTACTTTTATGAATAAGGTCTTTGTTATCTTAATGCAACTTTACAAAAAACCTTTTTGGAATACAAAAGTAAAATAAACCTGAAAATTTAGAAGATGCATTAAAATTCTGTTTTTGTACATCTGAATAAATAGACTAGATTAGAGTAGAGTAGAGTGGTTCAATTAGAAGGGACCTACAATGACCATATAGTCCAACTGCCTGACCACTTCCGCTCACACCAAAAGTTGAAGCATGTTGTTAAGGATGCTGTCCGAATGCCTCTTTTTAAGGCACTGGGGCGTTGACCACCTTTCTAGCAAGCCTGTTCCAGGGTTTGACCACACTCTCGATAAAGAAATGCTCCCTGATATCCAGTCTAAACCTCCCCTGGTGCAGAGTCTTATCACTGGATCCCAGGGAGAAGAGCTCAGCACCTCCCTCTCCCCTTCCCCTCCTCAGGAAGCTGTGGAGAGCAAGGAGGTGACCCCTCAGCCTCCTCCTCTCCAAACCAGCCAAGCCCAGAGTCCTCAGCTGCTCCTCACAGGACATGCCTTCCCGCCCTTCCACCAGCTTTGTTGCTCTTCTCTGGGTACATTCAAGGACATCCTTCTTAAATCGTGGGGCCCAGAATTGCACACAGCACTCCAGGTGAGGCTGCACCAATGCTGAGTCCAGTGGGATAATCCCCTCTTCTGGCAGGCTGGTGATGCCCCCCAGGGTGCGGGTTGCCCTCCTGGCTGCCAGGGCACACTGCTGGCTCACCCTGAGCCTGCTGCCAACCAGCACCCCCAGGTCCCTTTCTGCAGGGCTGCTGTCCAGACTCCTCTCCCAATTTATACACGTGCCCAGCATTCCTCCAACCCAGGTGCTGAACTTGGCATTTGTTTTTGTAAAATTTCATGCCATGGATAATTGCCCAATTTTCCAATCTATTCAGATCCCCCTGCAAGGCCTCTTGTCCCTCAGGAGAGTCAGCAGCACCTCCCAGTTTGGTGTTGCCAGCAAACTTGCCAATGGTGCATTTAGCTCCTGCATTCAGAGAATTGATAAACATTGAACAGAACTGGCCCTAGGATTGAGCCCTGAGGAACACTGCTGGTGACCGGTCACCAGCCAGATGTTGTCCCATGCATGACAACCCTTTAAGACCTGCTGTTCAGCCAGTTCTTCACCCTGTGCACCATGAACCATTTGTCTCACAGTTGGACAACTTGACCAGGAAGGTGCTGTGAGGGACAATATCAAAAGCCTTACTAATACATCCACAGTCTTCCCTTCATCCATTAGGTGGGTGACCTTATCGCAGAAGGGTATCAAACCAGTTAAACAAGACTTTGCCTTTCTGAACCCATGCTGACAATTGCATTGTCTTTGAAATGCCTTTCAGTAGCACCCAGGCTGATCTTTATAGGTATCTACAACCAAAAGGTTTGCCTTGTCCTTTCATCCAGGAATGCAGAATTACTGTTTACCTTTTGCCTATGCTCCTGCCTCTACAGCCCATATCTGATATTGCAGAGGATGAAGTCTTTCACAGGCTCTGGACAGAAATACCTTTTTTGTGGTTGCAGACTTCCGAAGTTCCAGTGTGTATTTTACACCCTGAAAGCTTTCTTTTTTTCTTTTTTCAAATTTCCCTGACTTTTCAGAAGAAACCAAAGACACAAAACACTCACTGATATCATCAAAATGCACAAGTTTGCAAATACAGCAAATTACTGTTTTATTTGTAGACATCAAATAAACATAAATATTGGTGTCCTCCAAGCTTATGTTAAAATAGTGACATAAATTCCTTACAACCTATCTAAGGCCCACAGAAGTCACTGGAACAGCTCTAGCAAATTTTATGGTGTTTGGAAAGGGACAGGAATGATTTTGCTTGATAGATTCATTGGATCAAATCACATCACTTGATAGGTTATTTGGGTGGAACTATGGCTGAAACTGATTTGATTCCTTCCACATTCACACACACGGAGACACAGTAAAATGCATCCTGCTGTGGTTTCCCGTTGTACATCTTCTGAAAAAAGCAACTCTGTTAGGTATTCCTCCATCTCTTTTTCAGATAACTGGTAAACGCATGCAGGACTGCTTCTTGAAGTATGTTGCTGTGGAATACCCATAAAGGAATGAACTGCAGGACACATGCCTTCAGAATAATCAAGAAAAAAAAACCACAAAGGCAAAGGGTTATAGGAATCTCTTGAAAGAAATTAACTGAGTGTTTAGAAAAGTTGTAGAAAACAGTAAATGCAAAAGCTTTTACTTTATACTTTCAGTATATATGTTTCCCTTAGAGGGAAATGTTCATTCCTTTCAGTTTTCAGCAAATCTGTTCTCGTCCCTACGCTTTCATTAAATGCTCATCATTAGCATCTGCCTGTATAAATATTTATTCTATTTTGTTAGCTTGCCATCCTAAGGAAATTATGTTTATGTGGTAGCACAGTCTGTTTTTATGTCCTTTCCGTTCCCCACGAATAACTTTTGAATCTGCTGGCCAACTTCTGTAAAGAGGTAGGGGTCTCAGAAATATTCCTAATAGGGTCATGAAAACAGACAGCTAAAGAAAAGATAAAGACTAACCAGATAACAACTGACCTCAGGTCAAGACACAAAAGTGGAGAAAGCCACACTGTGCTGATACCACTGTGCGTTACTTGTGTATTCCTCCCTTCATAGTTTACTGGTGCCATATTAGCCTTAATAACCTATTAACTGTTTCTCATTTGATGTCCAACCTTAAGGTCTCTGAAATCAGTCAAAAGAACCTGCTGAGTCCAGAGAGCCTTAGTTCAGCCTTTGGGACCCATTTACACACTATCAAATTCAATTACCAGCATTTCATGGGCTAAACATCCAAAAATCTCATCTCCAAAGGTGACATAATCCAGTGATTCACTAACAAACTCTTCTGCTGTCTTTGTAATAAGACCAGGTTTTTGGAACATTGTCATTGGAGTAGAAACACCATAAGGAGCCACTACCTAAAATAAGAAACCATAATAACAGTGTAAAGTCATCTACCATTTAGATAAGGTCATTCACTCTGCAGAAGCCTACAGCATCTGACAAATTATAACAGATATTTGCAATGGATTAAGGCACTATGTGGAATAAGGAAAAAATCCTATAGCCGCATACAGGAAAGAGAGAAACCTTTGGCAGGGTCACCCAGCACTTCACCAAGAATGGCTACACTATACAGATTTAGGATATTCTTGAAGAATTTGTTAAAAAAAGTAAGTATATATGGCAAGATAAAGCATCACCTGTATGATAATTCCCTTTGCCTTATACTCTGCTTGTAGTGCTTTGGAGAAAGTGCTTATAAAAGCCTAGAATAAAATAAAACAATATAATGTTAGGATAGGAAACTAAGTGCTTTCACATATGCCACAAATCTGTGTGAACAGGTTGTTAACAAAAGTGGTCAAGCGTCATACAACCTAAGGCACAGTGCAGTGGTGAGAAACATAGAAATGAAATTTTCAAGACCCATTTTCTGCTGGTGCATATGAGCAATGGCAAGATTGACTGTTTGCCTGCACCAGAAAAGATGGAGCCTGGCATTGGCCCAAGCCAGACATGAAACAAGTACTACTGCAGGCTGGACTTTGTCACATTTATGAAAATCATAGTATCACAGAATTGCCTAGGTTGGAAAAGACCTTTAAGATCATCAAGTCCAACCTAACCCTGCCATCCCACCGGTAAACCATGTCCCTAAGCACCTCATCTATCCTTCTTTTAAATACCTCCAGGGATGGGGACCCAGCCACCTCCCTGGGCAGCCCATCCAGCCAGTTTTTTACCCAGTGAAGAGTACACCCATCTAGGCCATGAACCGCCAGCTTCTCTAGGAGAATGCTGTGGGAGATTGTGTCAAAGGCTTTGCTGAAGTCCAGGTAGACAACATCCACAGCCTTTCCCTCATCTACCAGGCAGGTCACCTGGTCATAGAAGTAAATCAGGTTGGTTAGGCAAGACCTGCCTTTCATGAACCCATGCTAGCTGGGCCTGATCCCCTGATTGTCCTCCATGTGCCTGGTGAGCACACTCAAGACGAACCGCTCCATAATCTTCCCTGGTACTGAGGTCAGGCTGACAGGTCTGTAGTTCCCCAGATCCTCCTTTTGGCCTTTCTTGTAGATAGGCGTCACATTTGCCAACCTCCAGTCATCTGGGACCTCCTCTCTCACCCAGGACTGCTGATAAATGATGGAGAGTGGCTTGGCCAGCTCCTCTGCCAGCTCCTTCAGCGCTCTTGGGTGGATCCCATCCAGCCCCATAGACCTGTGGATGTCCAGGTGGCATAACAGGTCAAAAACTGCTTCCTCCTGGATTATGTGGGTTTATTCCACTCACCGTCCCCATCTTCCTGCTCGGGGGGCTGAGTACCCTGGAGATAACTTGTCAGGCCATTAAAGACCAAGGCAAAGAAGGAGTTGAGTATCTCAGCCTTTTCCTCGTCTTTAGTGGCAATGATGTTCCCCCTTGCATCGACAAGAGGATGGAGGTTCTCCCTGGCTCTCTTTTTGCTGTTAACATATTTATAAAAACTTTTCTTGTTATCCCTTACAGCAGTGGCCAGGTTGAGTTCTAGTTGGGCTTTTGCCTTTCTAATTTCCTCTCTGCATGACCTGACAAGATCTCTGTACTCTTCTTGGGTTGCCTGCTCCTTCTTCCAAAGCTGGTAAGCTCTCCTTTTCTTCACAAGTCTCAGTAAAAGATCCCTGTTCAGCCAGGCCAGCCATCTTTCCCGCTGATTTGTCTTACGGCACATGAGGACAGCCTGCTCCTGTGCCTTTAAGACTTTTTTCTTGAAGAATGCCCAGCCTTCCTGGACCCCTTTGCCCTTCAGGACTGTCTTCCAAGGGACTCTCCCAGCCAGTGTTCTGAACAGGCCAAAGTCTGCCCTCTGGAAGTCCATGGTGGCGGGGTTGCTGGCACCCTTCCTTACCTCACCAAAAATCAAAAATTCTACCCTTTCATGATCACTAAGGCAAAGACAACCTCTGACCACCACCTCTTCCACCAGTCCTTCTCTGTTAGTGAACAGGAGGTCAAGCAGGGCACCTCCCCTGGTAGGCTCACTTACCAGATGTGTCAGGAAGTTATCTTCCACACACTGTAGGAACCTCCTGGACTGTTTCCTTTCTGCTGTGTTGTATTTCCAGCAGATGTCTGGTAAGTTGAAGTCCCCCACGAGAACAAGAGCTCGCGACGGAGAGACTTCTGCCAGCTGCTTGTAGAATACTTCATCAACATCCTCATCCTGGTCAGGTGGTCTATAACAGACTCCCAACAGGATATCTTTCTTGCTGGCCTTCCCCCTTATCCTCACCCATAAGCACTCAGCCTCACCACAAGCGTCAAGCTCTGTACAATCAAACCCCTCCCTAACATACAGAGCCACCCCACCACCTCTCCTTCCTTGCTTGTCCCTTCTGAAGAGTTTGTAGCCATCCATTGCAGCACTCCAGTCATGGGAGGCATCACACCACATTTCTGTGATGGCGACTACATCATAGCCATCCTGCTCTGCAATGGCTTCCAGCTCCTCCCATTTGTGGCCCAAATGCAGAGATATAGTCCCATTTATTCTAGCTATTTTTTCATGTGGCTCTCATCTCTGGCTGACATCTACCCTCCCAGGTCAAGGCTACACTGTCGTTTCTCTTGCAACAAGAAGAGGAGTGAAATACAACAAAACACATAACTTCAGTGCATACCTATTAGCATAGCCTACAAATATGATTTTCAAAGTCATGTATTTGGGGGATTTTGTAGCTTCAACCTTTAGGATTTATCTTTCTAAGTTTTTCTCCACACCATAAAGAGTACACATATACTAACTTCCTGCAAAACTTGAGTTTCTCTTAAGACTGATATTAGGAGTTAGAACTTTGAGAAATATTCAGAAACTTGACAACATTGGATCACTCCTCTGTAATCAGAAATATAGAAGTCTTACCAAGGAGAAAATATGACACCATTTCAAAGCCATCACTTGGCAGGTCTCACAAGTTAAACACCAATAATATCATGTTATTGCATGAAATGTCAATATGCTGACAAGTAAAATAGTTTCCTTTCACAGCATTACAAAAAAAGTCCATTTAAAAATGAGCAAAGGTAAAAGATACCCAAGGGTGAAAAAAAGTCAAAATAATACAACCAATGTACCATATCACTTTGAAATATTGTTAAATAAAATTTTGTAAGGATCTAAAATTTTCTGGTTGAATGTAGTTCAAGTCAAGTAAAGAGGAACTTCCATTAAAAATAGAAAAGGGAAATAGGAACCCAGAATTTCTTACGAAGAATAACTAGCATTTTCTTACCAAAAGCTATGTTCAAGCCAATATTGTTAGACTTTTTAACTTGGAGCAAACCTGAGCTGAGCAAGTTGCTTTTGGAGTTTCAGTAAAAATCATTCACTGTTTTTATGAGCCCTGGTGTTTTAATTCAGAGCAAAATTTCAAAGTGAAATCTATGAAGTCAGGCAACCTACAACCACCTACCAGGAATTTTATTCTTGGTTCCATAAGCAAAATCTAGCACTTTTGTGCACCTTCAGTTCTGAGTAAAACAGCTAAGCCAGCCTGGTAAAAATCATCACTTCCCGTTAACACAGACAGATTGTGAGCACTGGGATAATGCTACTTAATCAAAAGCAAAAATGTTCCAATGATCAGACATACCTTTAGCTGATTTCATTTACACAGCTTCACTTATCCTTAGTTGTCAGCTAGTGCTCATTCACATCGCTTCACTATTTCAGTGGAACAAGGCTGATTTATGTCCTGAAAACCTCACCCTATATTGCTGATACAAACACTTTGGTAAACACTTGGTGGGGATTTCTTTACAAAGCAGTGTGAATTACTTACCTTAGAAGCTGAGTACATTGTGTATAATGGACAAGGGAAAGTACCCAGACCAGAGGACAGATTCAGAATAAGACCTTTTTGTCTGAAATTTAATTTAAACAGTTACATTCAGTTTACATTTGACAGTATTATAATAAAAGCCTGCACAAGTTGAAAACAACTTATTTCCCCCAGAAGGCATAGCTCTCCTATTATACTGTAGACTACAATTTCTAAAGGCCCAATTTTTATGGTTTAGTTAAGTGCAATTAAGTCTAAACCAGCTAGGAATAATGTCATAAGAGAAATTTAAATGCTTAATGCGATCAGAACTATGGGGACATTTTACATGCTATTGTACATCTAACAGAGCAAAATCTGCCATCAGAGGAAAGAGTAATTGGTAGGTCCCCTTTGCTCATTACCCAGCACATTCTTTTTCCTGCTCCATGCATCTGTTGTTCTAGTTTCCCCATTCACAACTCCCTGTACAAATCACTAAAAACAATTCATTCAGCAACAACCAGGAAAAAACCAAACCAAAGCAATTTAACAGTAAGAGCTTATTTTGTTGCCAAAACAAAACAAAAAGCACGCACAGTCCTCTAAAATGCAGTAGTTAACAATGTTTTCTAGAAACTCTACCTGAAGACCTTAATTTCTGGCTTAAGGACCCTCATGTCTAAAATGCACATGGTATTAAAAGGAGAAAAGGGATGCTAAATTGCATAGTTGAATTAACCTCTCTGATGCAGTACAGGTATTTCCAGAGCTTGAAAACTATTATTCCAAGTACAGATACCACTCTTAGAAGACTATGACAATATATTGGAATGCCATTTCTTGTCTAATTAGACCCACCACATGTCATTTTATTTCTTCAATACCTGCATGTTTTCACTGGACACAGACCTATACTTTATATTTTCTGTCTTGTTCTACAGTTGACTGAGAATTTGTGGCAGTTGCTATCATTCATTCACACAGCACTAACAGCAACAGAAAAAAATCTTACTGATTGACATACTGTAAAGTGCAGAAATTAATAATGGAAAGGCATAGCTACCACTGAATAAACTGGAGGTAGCAGTGAGAACCTATTGAAAGATCTAGAAAAATATATTTTTACCTTGGCTCCATTTGTTTCAAAACTATTTTTGTCATCTGTAAGACAAATATGTTAAAAATTATATCCATTCTCCCTCTTTCTGATTGCATTTTTCAGCTGATCTTGTTTTATTCACAAGATTTCCACCTGCTCAGGCCCCAGCCATATGTATGTGGTTCAAATAGCTAAAATGTGGCACATTCAAAGTTTTGGAAAACAGTTTAGAAATGCTAATAGCCTGCAAAGTAACTGAATTGTCAAAAAATTCCAAAGGTTAGTTTTCTAAGTGGTGAAAGTCTTCTGCTTATCCAAAGATTTTCAACAGTATTGTAATTTCATCATTCTTTGTTACTGAATCGTTAAGTGTAAGGAGAAAGTCAACTTCATAGTGGTTTTGCATTTTCACTTCTGGCTCTACCTGGATCAGAAATAGCAGAAAATCAAGAAAGACTATTTTTTTTTTTTTGCTAGCAAAGAGAACTTTAGGATGATTTTTTATGTTACTTATTTAATCATTCATTCATATTCTAACAATAGACTTAATCACACTTGCGATTTTTAAAGTGCAATTAAATCAATTTCTAGGTAAGAAATCCGCTTCTGTTTGTTGTATTTGAAGAGTATTATTGTTAGTAAGCCTAAGTCCCTAGGGAATTCATACTCATACTATTGAATCTTTATAAAAAACACACATAATATATGAATCTTCTCAGGATAAGAGTGTGACTTAATTTGTAAAGGACAGTAATAAAAAGTAGTGCAAAAGAATGATGCAGCTTAAATTCAGTCTGTGTTAATTCCCTATTTTTTTCAGTAGTATCATTGTGCACAACAGGATAGTAGGAGCCAGGTGGGGTTCACAAGCTTCATTTTTGGAAAGGATGACAATGCCAGTAGGTCACATCAGCTTGGGGGAAGAATTTCCAAGTAAAGTGGAAAATATTGTAAAAGGTCCTGCTTTTGTGGTGCTGAAAATCCCACTGATATCTGTGGGAGGTAGGAATACCTGGAGCTTGGGCATCCCACTGCAAGAAGTGGTGAGCAGGATTCTAGCAGGAATCAAGGAGGAGGGCGGTGGGGAACCAAACAGATTTAAAGATGATTTGGACCTAACTATGAGGAATGCTGGCTAGGAGCATGATTTCTTTGTGTTTTGGTGGAAGGTGAATATTTTTGAAAGAGGTCGATTCCAAGGTATGTGTAAGGTTCTTTTGTGAGGCATCTATGCTGCAGGTATTTCTCTTCTTTTGATGTATAAATAGAATAAAACCCAGGAGCAGAAAGTTCACCAAACTACTTCATGGAAGAATTTGTTTAAATTGACTGATATTACATGATTTATTATTTGAAGTCATTAATCAGCAGTAGAAATTTGGGATGTAAAGTTTGCTAGCCGAAGAAAGATGAACATCTGTCGATAATTTTCATGTCATGTTTAGAAAGGTTGAGATGAACTACAAAGCTCCTGTTCTGCTCTTGTTTGTGTTAACATGCTGCTTTGCAAACAGCAGAGCAATGCAAATCTTCATCAGAGGTGGAAAGCATGAAATACTAATGGTTCCTGTAATGGAAGTAGCAGACCAAAATTAACACCAAGAGGTAACAACACAGAACTGGGAGTCAATTCCTTCAATTTCTGTCCTGCACTGACACCAAAATATTTTTACAGAACAAAATTGTGTCAAAAATGCACATACAGTACAAAAAGTCAAACTGCTGATCTTCCTGTCCTGGAGATTTTGATTCTGAAACAAATCCCCCTGTTTACCAAAACAAACATGTTTTTGCAAAATGTTTGAGCTGCAGTGTAATGATGTTTCTCAACCAAGGAACTGTGTTGAAACATTTGCAGTCAGCTCTGATGAAAGTATTTCATAGGCAGTAGAAACAGATGGGTTCCTCAAAATAATGCCAACATTCCCTACTATCTGTGGATAAGGTAAATGAAAATACACAGGTTGGTCGCTCTTGTGTGGGACTAACTTTTTCCAGTACAATAATTACAGGTGTAGCATAGATGCGAGTGTGTCACATACCTTGGTAGCAGAAACAATGTTGCAGTTGATGAGGTTCTGCAGGAAGCAAGAACACAGTGAGTTCATTGTTAACTTCAGAGAGATTGTAGCTTATCTGGGTAACAAAGCCAGCGATTCCAATTGAAAAGCTCTGCAGCAAGGCAGTTGCTTTTAGAGCTGCTTTGCCTGCCTCCAATTGCCACTGACTGTCCCTATGATGGGGGATACTCAAAGGCCAGTGAGCCCTGATTCATTTTATTTTAAACAGGGGTTTCAAATCTGCTTTCAGTTCTTTGACTCTGTGCCCTCCGTTTTGCCCAGCCATGTCTTTGCACGTGGTGAAACCTGCAAAGCCGATGTCCCCGCAGTGATGGCACCAGGCTGGATGCAAGCAAACAACAAATTACAGAGGTATCAGGCTGGGACTGAGTGGCTTTCAATGACAGAAGTAGGCTCTCCATCCAGCAAAAGCACTGCCACATAGAGATATCCTCCCAAGACCAGCAAGCAAAGACAGGTTATAGCAGCAGCAGAGGTGCCACCATACAGCTGCAGCTCTGAGGGAAGCAGCGTGCTTGGAGATCTCTGATTTGTAGTCGATGCTCATATAATCATAGAATGCTTTGGGTTGGAAAGGATCTTTAGAGGTCTTCTAGTCCAAGCCCACCTGCAGTGAGCAGGGACATCTTTAACGAGATCATGTTGCTCAGAGCCCTGTCCAACCTGGCCTTGAATGTTTCCATGATGATATATGATACACTGAATGGACCCTGAGACAGGTGCTAGCAAGAAATACGCTTAGAAACTCTGGGGTTTTTTCATGTCTAATACCACAGAGGTAAACAACAATATGCCAACGCAAAACCTGATCACACCCTTAATCATGTCAAACTATTCTACATAGGTAAGTTAATTCCCCCCATAAAGTAAACTGTGTTTAAGTGAGGTTTATCTTTTCTTTCTTTTTTTTTTTTTTTTTTTTTTCACATACTTAAGCAATGGTGTTCCAAAGAAAGTAAGTTTAGATAATACTAAAAAGAACCCAACACTTAGCTGTGGCTGTGACCAGGCTGGACCTCATTATGTTGCATGTGAGCAGTGAGCCAGAGGGCCTGCTGATCCCTGCTACGACTGGGCTGGATGCATTCTCCCCTCTATTGCTGGGTGCTTACTGCAATTTAGCAGAAATCTACTGTCCTTTTTCTCTTTCAAGCTCTTCTGAGCACTAAAACCAAATCAAAATATGCTCCTGCAAGGCCCAGTTCTTTTCCCACTCAGTGGAAGAGTCATATACGTGCTGATTGTAGCAAGGGCAGAATCTGTCCCTTGTTAAATGGAATTACAGTTCCTCATTGTTATACTGGAAATAGAAACCCACAGAGTAATCCTACCTCATCTATGTCTGGTCCATTAAGGAAACGGCACGGAAGAGGATTATGAAGCATTCCAACATTGTTAACTAATCAAAGGAAACACAATGATAAGAACCAAATCTAGACAAAGTGCATAGTTCAGCTAGCTAAAAAAAATGGCTTGTCCTCAAGAGCCAGAAACTTTTGAGCTCTATATGAAGATAAATGCTGTTTAGCATTGAGTCTTGTTCTCATTGAAGCCATCAGTACTGATCAGTACTGACTTCAGCGAACAGAAAAACAGTCTGTTGCTACAGTTTGGGGGTTGGTTTGTTTGGTTTCTTGTGTTTTGTTGGTGTTGTTTCATTTGTTCCACCATTAAAAGGATGACTTCTCTTTACAAAAAATAAAACCCAAAAACTTTCCCCAAAAAACATGTTTTCATTGTTGCTCTGTGGATCGTACCAAGTAGTGTTAGCCACAGGCTCATTTCAGATTAAATATAAGAATTACACACATCTGTAAAGCAACCAAGAGCAAAACTTAATTCCTGCGGGCCAAACAGGGAAGAAGTCACCCCAGAAGCTGGAATTTGCTTATAAAGTGGCAGAAGAGGTTTCACAGTAAAGAAGCCACTGTACAGGGAAACAGGAAGCCTTTGGAGAATCTTAACTCACTTTTAAAACTTCTTCATGATAACTAATGCTCAGATGCATTAGGCAGCTGTATGCTTGGTTTTAAATGTTGCCTAACAAGTTGTTACGACATATCATTTATACAATTCTCAGTTTAATACGCTGCAGCCATAAAACACTTTTCAATTAACAGACCTTAGTGACTCACCCAGAACACCAATATCCAAGCCTTGCAGTCTTTTTTCAATGTCCTCGTATACTGAATTTTTGGTGAAATCAGCTTGTATGACCTTCACCTTTTGACCTGTGGCCTGCTCTGTAATTAAGGGGAAAAGAAAAAAAAAAAAAGAAACCCCCTTTGTGTCTACCCAGAGAGAGGGACAGCTGTAATTAAGTAAGGAGAGAAACAATTAGATGTCTCATTTAGTAATGTCTGCTGTGCAGTAAGTAATTGTTTTAACTTTCTTGCTTTAAGGAAGACAAAAACGCAAGCAAAACACTCTCACTGTACCCAGTGGTTTTCAAGGAAATGGCCTGGCAAATATAGGATGAATTTATGCCCTGAAATAAATGGAAGTTCCCTCACAAAATCTAAACACCATTTGATCCTTCAGTAAGAAAAATACCCCAGAAATAAACAACATAGGACTTCTTCCCCTGGTTATCATAATATTTATAAACGAACACTGTCAGCATACTTTAGAAAAGTGAACGTGGGTGCCAGATCCTCTACATAAGCACAGTTTTGCAGAATTGTTTTAAAGTGTTTTCATATATAAGATGAACATTTTAACAAGCAGAGCTTATCTTTTCATGTAGGAGGAGGGGAAAACAGGGCTGGACCTGATGCAGTATTTTCTGCATCATTTTCAGGAAATTCCTCTCCTATTTTGACAATTTCATTCCCATAAACTGAACCTTTCCCAGGATTTTGCAGGACTGAAAGATATTTAAGGGAGAGTATAGCTTAAATTTTACAAGGTCAATTTACACAGAAGGGAAAGGGAAATGCGTGTGATTTTTCCAGTGTCATTGTTTTGCAGGAGTGGAGCCCAGCTGTACATTACCAATTTTCTCAGCAGTTGATTTATTGCCGTTCATATTTTCAACAAAGTTTCATGAGGAAAAGAGGTAGAGGCTCCTATTTAGTAATTTTAAAGGCAAAGTTCTCCTTTAAAGGGGCCCAGTAAGGTCTCTTCTAACTAGACCTTCACATTGTAAATTCTTGCTACTAAATCCGCTTTCAAGTTTTATGGGCAACCTGAAATCCAGATGAAGTTTGCTGAAAAAGTGACAAGCGAACCTTGGAAATGTCAGCAGATGATCGGATTGCAGACTCTCTGGAAGTGGCAGGAATTCAGGTGCATGTAGATGGCAAACAGTCTCCCTTTCGGTCCTGTTTGGCCTCTGCTTGTTCTGAGCCTGATTTTATCATAGAGGTGACAGGGAGCATTGCCTTTAATAGAAATCAGACTTGCTGATTTCTGCCCAGAAATCTTGCCTCATCCCTTCCGTACATTCAGAATTTAGGAAGAGGCCGGTGCACCAGCCTCAGCAGGCGAGCAAGGCTGGCAGAAGGCTGGCTTTGCATCTAGCAGGCCAGTTTGCAATGAAACAGGGCCTGTGCTGGAGGGTGAGGTGGTGTTGTTCCCTCCTGGTTGTTTCCTCCTTGCCCCTCACTACACTGCACGTCTCAACTGCCTTCTGCCACCCCAGTAACAGGAGTGGTCAGAAGAAAGAGCAGATGCTCTGACTCCAGATCTGAAATGCCAACTGCGTCTTGTGTGCAATTTTGGAGGACGTGTCTACATGACAGAAGAAAGGAGGAAGGAGGGCTCTTTTCCCTGCCCTCTTTCCAAGCTGCAGTTATCCGTATGAAAAGGACAAAACACCCTTTGAACCTTCAACCCATAAAAGCAACTCCAGTGGCAAATGACCCACTGGCGGTCCCCAGCTGGGGGAATGCTACAGCTATAAAGAAAAGGACATTGTGAGTCTAAATGTAGTGAAGGGAAAGAACAGAGTAACAGCTGGAGCAGACACCTACAGTGACCTTCTGATTGAAGAGCTCTATAAACAAAATGAGATGGTCTTAAAAAGTGTAGTGATATTGTGGCCATCTTTCTCGCGGGCAACAAGAAGGGCAGCCAAAACTAGAGCAACATAAAAATGAGGATCAAACAAACCATTTGGACTTTCTCTGCATCCCCTTGTCTGTACAGAACTGTACTGCTGCAACCAGCACTGTCAGCCGACAAACAAGCACTCCAGATGGCTTTCTTCTGTCTCATTTAAGAATAAAACAATATATTAAAAAACAATAAAACCATCATGCTGAAAAATGAATTATCCAGGGATAACTCTTCAGAAAATGATAACAATTCTGCAAAGGAGAGAGCCAAAAAATTATTTCCAATTTTCTTATGTCTCTCCTTCTCTGTGACAAAGACTTATGACAGCCTTTTAAGACACAAGCCATTCCAACTCTTTTTAAAAGTCCTAAGTATGCCAGAAGCAAAAAGCCTAGGTTTTAAAACATTGGGACAGGTTATTTTCTTTCTTTAAAAAATTAAGAGAAAATTAATTTAAGGCAAATTAAAAACTTGAGTTGTTTAATCTGATGTGTTATAAAACTTATCATTAATAAGGATACATCTAACTCCTTCTGACCTCAGATCACTTGGGAATCCCACTTGTCCGATAGGATAATGTGCTGCCTTCTGAAATTTACCAAGAGGAGAAAAAATCAGGATGAAGCATGAAGTTGGGTAGGACATGCAATCCGCCAGAAACTCTCCTTTTCTATTTAGAGAGTTATGAATACTTTCTAAAAACCTGAGGCAACAAAATGAATGCCTGAGTGACACAAGAACTGACCTTTTTGTAGAAAGAGGAAACCCTTTTGAAGTACTACAGCAAAATTTGAATATGAAGGGAGAAGCACTCAGGCTAAGATGGCATTCATATTCAGTGGAAATTTGCTGAGACGAGAGCAAAATGAGAGGTTATTTTAACAACAGAAAGATGCTTAAAAATATTTAAGACTGGGGAGAAATATAAACATTTCTGTTAGATTATAAAACACAAGTTCTGGCTACCTTTCAAAAGTATTTTGGAGAAATCTATCTCCTCAGAAGTGTAAGACAACTCAGTGTCAGAAATAACAGGAAAATAGAGAAGAAACAAAACGAACGAGTGTAAAAGCAGAACTGCAAAAATGATAGAAGATACCAGAGAACACAAATCCAGTGAACAAAAAAAACCCAAACATGAATTGCTACGAGTTACCAGAGCACTCAGAACATTGGTCAAGGCCCTGAAGTGCTCTGTTACGTAGTAGTGCGTATTGGGAAAACAGCACTGAGCAAATAATGCTTTACCTCAAGCGATCAGCAAGTCACAACAGGCATTTTTATCAGCCTTCGAGGATGAAGGAAGGGTGTGCCAAGTGAGTTGTTTTGTGCCAGTCAGTAATCTCAGCTTGTACCTGGCAGGACAAGGGATGGAAGACGCAGCAGACCAGGCTGGAAGTTGAACCTGCAAGCAGCGGGGTGGGGGCACTGCTAAATGAATTAGCACCTTTACAGGTCTTAATGGGAGCAAGATGCATATGGTTCTTGACAATTCTGTGGGGTGACTTTTATGTTCACTGCTTTATTTATACACTAACAGGCATGATTTCACCCAGCCTGAACTCATGAAATGCAATGCTTCGCTAGTCTAAACTGGCATAGCTGTATTTTCTACTGCTTCCTGAGGATCACACACCTTATCTTAAAAAAAAAAAAAAGCAAAAAAACCCGCAACTAAAGCCCCAAAACCACTAATGAAAAATTTTTACATCTTACAGAAGTGGCTTTTGTTTGTTTGGCATTAGCAGCTAAACAGTACAAACCCTAGTCATATAAATAGGTCCTAAAATATAACTTCCCAGTCAGGACTGTACAGCTTGCTTAGGAAGCATAGGCAGAAAAAATAAGAAAGGAGTGCAGTTTGTAGCTTTCCAGTATTTCTAATCTGGTTTGATGGTTTGATCAATGTTTCACAACCACAATACCAAATGTGTTAAATGAGCAGAGTACCTGGTTTAATGGTCCTCTCTGTCTGCCCTCCTACCAGGCTTACTTTGTTATCTTTTATCTCATTCTAAAAGAGCTTTCTGGTCCGAATGGATGGAAATCTGGCTTTCAATTCCAGTGCTTTTTTACAGAGAAATGTTTTTCTTGCGGTGGATTTCTGCCTGCTACAGTTCCAAGAGCTGTTCCCAGGCACATGTGTGGCCCACAGGACCGTTCGAAAGCCAAACACCGAGGTCTGTGGAATCATCCACGCTTTAGGCTCCTTTAATTTTCATTATTTATAGAATCATAGAATCATTTGGGTTGGAAAAGACCTTTAAGATCATCAAGTCCAACCGTTAACCTGACACTGCCATTCCACCAATAAACCGTGTCCCTAAGCGCCTCGTCTGCCTGTCTTTTAAATACCTCCAGGGATGGGGACTCAACCACTTCCCTGGGCAGCCCGTTCCAATGCTTGACAAGCCTGTCAGTGAAAAAATTTTTCCTGATGTCCAATGTAAACCTGCCCTGGTGCAACTTCAGACCATTTCCCCTCATCCTATTGTCTGTTACCAGGAAGAAGAGACTGACCCCCACCTCACTACAGCCTCCTTTCAGAATCCAAACTGAACGTGGCAGTATGATTAGGCAAATAATATTGTCAGGTTGAAAAGGGAGGCAAGCCTCTTAATTACGGTGTCCAGCTGTTTGGAAGAAGATATATGGTGTAGCTGTTAAGAAAAAGGAAACAAGTAATGTGACCGGTCCTACAACAAATTTATGCAGCCTACAACAAGCTTCTTGTTTCTACCTCTCTGTGCCTTACTCTCCTTGCATGTTAGTTCAGGGTAATGATAACCACTGGGAGTGGGACACTGCTTGTTTAAGCAGTTTAGAAAGAAAGAGTCAGTGAGGATTAGAAAATTTAAGTAAAACTGTTCTGGTTAAGTTTCTGCATAATTTTTAGTTTCTGTTGTTTATTTACTCACATAAAATAACAGTAAGTTTAACTTTTCTTCCTTCCCAATGACTGCTTATTTTAATTACAGTGAAGCCTTAGTTTGCAAATTGGAATCAGTGGAACATTTCCAAAGCTTTAACATAAGCCCACATCCAGAGCTCCCTGCTGATCTTAGTGGCCTCCAGATCAGATAATCTGTGCTTTTCATCACTGCATCTTCCTCTCCTTTTTGTTTGTGCTATCTACTTATTATGTACTCATTTCCAACCTGACACAGTAAGTAACACATGAGTCACTCTGGGCTTCAACCAAAACCCACTGAAAAAAATGGAAAGATCTTGCTGGGATTTGCCACCAATTTTAGCAAGCTTTGGGAAACCTCTTTATGCTGACGACCCAGCCGAACATGGCACAGAAACCTGAAGGGTGTAGGTTGAGCTCCTGGGCTCACACCATCCATGTCCCCATGCCTTGGATTGCATGGACAGTCCCGCGGCTGTCAGGGAAGCTTCCTCACGTGCAGAAAGCCACAGGTCACTGTTGCAGAAGACATAGGAGTGTTTGTAGGGTATCTCAGCCATACTGAAGGGAGGCTAAAGGGTTAACAAAAGGATGTTTGTGAAGCCAACTGTAGATCCATCTTAAATTGCTAGCATTGTGTTTTAGATTAACTTACTAATCATATGGAGTAAACTATAGATAAGAAACTAACACTGTAGGGAATGTGGAAGAGAAGAGATTAGTAGCAAATGGCCCATCTTTGTTACAGGTCTTGGAAGGCCTGTAGGAGAACAAAGCGTCTGGCACTTTGTCGATATGAGGATAGCCAAGGATGGGGAACTGGTTGGTACAGGCTGTGTTGTTCTGACAGTGGAATAAGAGGGGTAGAAGCTGGAGTTCACCAAAAGGACAAGGTGAAGAAGAGGAGTGGATAGAATCATAGATCATAGAATCATAGAATGTTTAGGGTTGGAAGGGACCACTAGTGGTCATCTAGTCCAACCCCCCTGCAGTGAGCAGGGACACTGCTAACTAGATCAGATTGCTCAGAGCCCCATCCAACCTGGCCTTGAATGTTTCCAGGGATGGGGCCTCCACTACCTCTCTGGGCAACCTGTTCCAGTGTTTTACCACCCTCATTGTAAAAAATTTCTTCCTTACCTCTAGCCTGAACCTACCCTGTTCTAGTTTAAAACCATTTCCCCTTGTCCTAACACAGCTGGCCCTACTAAAAAGACGTTCCCCATCTTTCCTATAGGCCCCCTTTAGGTACTGGAAGGCCGCAATCAGGTCTCCCCGTAGCCTCCTTTTCTCCAGACTGAACAAGCCCAACTCTCTCAGCCTGTCCTCATAGGAGAGGTGCTCCAGCCCTCGGATCATTTTTGTAGCCCTCCTCTGGACCCGTTCCAACAGTTCCATGTCCTTCTTGTGCTGAGGGCTCCAGAGCTGGACGCAGTACTCCAGGTGAGGTCTCACCAGAGCTGAGTAGAGGGGCAGAATCACCTCCCTCGACCTGCTGGCCA